TCAAAAATATAATAAAAGGGCCAGGTATGTAGCTCACTGGTAGACTGTGAGGCCTGGGTTCAATCCTTAGTATCAAAGGGGGAAAAAAAGCAGTTTAAGAATCAAAAACAGTACAAAAGGTGTAAAGCATTAATGAGAAGCAGCTCTTAACTTAGACCACAAACTGGACACTACATTCAAACCAGTTCCTCCTTTCCCCTTTCCCTACTACTCTACTGAGGCTGAGAAGGCGGGTTGGACAAAAGCAGAAGGCTGCCAGAGGTACCAGTGACCGTCAGTTGTGCAAAGGATCCTCAAGGTTTCTTCCAACAAGCCCCAAGCACCATGCTGAAAACGGTGATGGACAAAACAGATGCAGACCTTGATATCCAGCAGGGCACAAACATGGTGCAACTGTGTCACATGGTGAGGACACCTATCCCAGTCATGAACAATGGGACTATAGAGAGCCCAGAGAAGTTAACTGGAAGGCCTCAGTTAACTGGAGCTAACTGTAATGTGGCCCCAGTCTCTCCAGAAGCCTATTTTCACTGTAACTCAGGAGGTGCACAAATGACTACTACATGTTATATATGGGTCACACAGGCTTATTTCTCAAAATGTTAGAAATCAAAATTATTTAAATCTAAAATGCATTAAACTACTCGTTAATTAAACATTAAAATGAATGACTTGAGGGCTGAGTTTGTGGCTCAGTGATGGGGCGCTTGCCTAGCACATGTGAGGCACTGGGTTCAATCCTCAGCACCACATAAAAATAAAAATAAAACACTGGTCTAACAATGAGGTGTTTAAAAAAAAAAAATTAATGAACTGAGTCTTACCACTGCAAAGACTGTGAGTAGAAAAGAGACCTAGGCCTGTTGTTGGGACTAAGGAGAACAGACCTCAGGATAGCTGCTCTATGTTCCCAACATCTACAAGTCAAAGATGGTGAATTCAATTTATCCTATTTATGTTTGGCTACTAGATATTTTAGTATGAAAGATAAAAATGTATCAATTTCCAAATGAATGTATACTGTAGCCTTTTTTTTTTTTTTTTTTTTTACTAGGGATTGAAACTAGGAGCCTTTACCACTGAGCTACATCCCAACCCTTTTTAGGGTTTTTTTTTTTTTTTTTTTAAAAGAGAGAAAGAGAGAGGGAGAGAGAGAATTTTAACTTTTTTTTTTTTTTTTTTTTTTTAGTTTTTGGCAGACACAACATTTCTGTTTGTATGTCGTGCTGAGGATCGAACCCGGGCCGCACGCATGCCAGGCGAGCGCGCTACTGCTTGAGCCACATCCCCAGCCCCCCTTTTTAGGTTTTTATTTGGAGACAGTTTTGGATTCAATTTCTGGTACCAAAAAAAAAAAAAAGAGTGGCAAATTTGTTTGGCATCTTCAAAGTATACACAACTGTTAAAGAGGTGCTTATTGGGCTGGGGATATAGCTCAGTTGGTAGAGTGCTTGCCTCCCATTAACAAGACCCTGGGTTCAATCCCCAGCATCATACAAAAACAAATTTTTTTTTGCTTTATTTGTTTGTTTATTTCTATTTATACATTATACTTAGTTTGCTGCTACAGCAACACCAACAAACCCAAACTTTCCTACCCAATTGATCTTCCTAAAACTTCTCTAGTCTCAGGTGCCAAACCTGGTCTCTGGACACAGACTCTGTTCTAAAAGAACATATTCTTCACTCTCCTCGGACAGAAGGAAAATGCTCCCCCACCAGGCCCAGACAAACCTCACTATCTGCTGCTCCACAACCTGCCCCAGAGTCTCTCAGTCTGAATTCCACCTTCTGGAGTGTCAAGCTATTGCCCAGCCACACCTGTAAGGACCATCCACCTGTCCATCTCCAAGAGACCTGTCCAGATGGCCCAGGACACCCCACAGACCCCAACCCCAGGAACACCTGTGCTTCCCATGAGTCAGGCTCTCAGCAAGGAAAACACTGTTTTCTTACACAGTCCTCACACACGGTCAAATCAAAGACTCGCAGAATCCTGTCTTTTGGAAAGCCCCGCATGCTGGCCTTCTCTCACACACCCATCCACAGTGGGCATAGAGCTCGCCAACCACCTAGCAAAAGGCACATGTTCACACTTAAAATATCCAGTACAGCCTGTAATCCCAGTTGCTCTGAAGGCTGAGACAGGAGGGTCTCGAGTTCAAAGTCAGCTTCAGCGAGGCATTTAGTAACTCAGTGAGACCCCGTCTCTAAATAAAATACAACATAGGGCTGAGGATGTGGCTCAGTGGTTGAGTGCCGCTGAGTTCAATCCCTGGTACCAAAAAAAAAGAGTGGGCATATAGCTCAGTAGAGCTCCCCTGGCTTCAGTCCCTGGTGCCACAAAATAAATAAATTAGAACTGGGGGTGTAGTTTGTCTAGCATTTGTGAGGCCACATTTACTTCCTAGTATGGAAACACACACAAAAAAAACTTTGAACATCAACCTAAACACTAAGTTTAAATTCAAGAAAAAAAGATTTAACAATGTACCTACATTTCACTGGTACCAACTGTCTCTACAGTTTATTCCCTTAACCTATGTTACTACTCTACACCAAAAACTTGCAAATAATGTGTTAAAAATAGGGAGGTGCTGAAACACCCTACAAATTAGCCATCTATCCCACACAGTGCAGAGACTGACTCTGTGAACTAGGCCATTCCCACCAGCATAGGCATTGGTTCCCAAGCCCACCAGAAAGAAGTTCAAGGCCATGCTGGAGGCAAAGGCCAGAGAGCCAGTCTCCACCTCACCTGCTTCCTACTCATCTCCATGGCAAGGCTCTCTACCCTTTCATAAAATCTGAATTTCGCTTCCTCACGGAAAGGTCAATTTATTTCCATGTTCAGCACGTTGGCACATGTAGAATTCAACACAAATGGGTTTGGCTGAAAAGTAAAATATTTTCTTTAAAAAGCCCTAAATTCTAAAAAAAAAAAAAAAAAAGAAGCACACAATTTCCTTTGTTGAACATGGATTTTTTTTTTTTTTTTTTTGAGAAATGCTCTTGCTATGTTGCCCAGGTGACCTTCCTGCCTCAGAATCTCAAGTAGGTAAAAATGCATTTTTTTGTAAACAAACTGCCAGATTGAAGGGCAGCAGTTAGAAGTGCTATTCCATGTTTTAGCACCAAAGAAAAGATGGCCATTAGGCCCCTACCATTAATTTGACGCTGTCTATGGTATAAATACAGGAAAACATTTTTGGCTTGAATATAACATTCTTAACATGTAACAATGAATCCCACTAGTACATCAAATTATAAGGCACCAATAATTTTTTTTAAAAAAAGAAAATATTCTTTATAAAGTGACTATTAAGGAATAGAAACTGGTACTCCTCTTCAAGGCTACTTAAGCAACGGAAACATACACACCAGAGACTTAAGAGAAGCAATGCTTTTACCAGCATTTCCAAAGATCAGAGCAGTTAAACATTCCAGAGTGTCGACAAAAGCTGTACCTGCACTGACCAAGAAACAAGCCTATCGGGATAATGAACATTTCCTAGACAGCAAACATGTTTTCAAGCAGAGCAAATGACTTTATCAAACCATGCTGAATTATTTTGTAGCATGATTGACATTTACCTGTAAGGCTCACTTAACACTCTATATGACCTTGTAATAATTTCTAAATAACAAAACCACCTTTCCATTAAAAAACTTAAAAAGCTATATTCGAAGTACCCAATTTGCCAAAATGTTTATAGTTCAGAGCAGATTTTTAAATACTTGACTGAGTGCAGTGGCGCACACCTGTAATCCCAGCTACTCAAGAGGCTGAGCAGGAGACTGCAAGTTCAAGGCCAGCCTGGGCAACTTAGTGGGACCCTGTCTCAAAATTAAAGAAGGGCTGGGGTTGTAGCTCAGTGGTTGACTGCTTGCCTTGCATGCGGGAGGCACTGGGTTTGATTCTCAGCACCACATTAAAAAAACATGAATCAAAATTAAAGAAAAAGGGCGGGGGTGTAGCTCAATGCTTAATATGTGTGAGGCCTTGGGTTCAATACAGTTTAAAAAATGGTAAGGTTGCAGTTTTCAATTGTTAGGCTACCAACACAATAGGAAAAGAAGTCCTTGTGGCTCACAACACCACACTCTGGAAATATTTCACTACAGAAAAGAAGTAGCAGACAGCTTCTTGTCAGAAGACACAGGTTTTAGTTTGGGGCAGTTCTTCCACTGCATACAGCTAACATTTCCCTTGGGGATGACCTGCTGATTTTGAATATATACCAACTGCCAGGATGCAGAGTCCATGTGCACATGTGAAAGCCCTGCATAACAGGGGGACCAGAGGGTCATGTGCAGGCATGGTGATCTGTGTCCTGGCTGGTGGTCTGGGTCAGACTGGGCAAGAAGTTAAGGTTGAGATCCAAGGGGATCATGTGTGGGGGAATATGGGTCTGGCTGTGTGTAGGACAGACAAGGCCTGTTAGGTCCTCCTGATGGAGTGTTGGGGACTGTGATCTGGTTCCTTGGGTGGGGGGTCAGGATCCATCCTAGTCATGGGGTCTGCTCCTCCTGGTGGATGGTGGATCCTAGCTCTGGCATTTGACTATGGTCAGGATGTGGAACAGGTTCTGGTTGCGGGTAGAGTGTTCTTGGATCAGGGTCCTACCCTACTGTGAACAGGAGATGCAGGTCAGGGTCTGACCCTGTTGGTGCGTGTAGGCCTGGGTCCAGGCCACCTTATGCGTTTGTGCCTGGGCCAGGGTCGAGGACCCTGGCTGTGGCTGGTGGGTCTGAGCTGAGTCGGAGTCATGGATCCTGGCCATGGCTCGTGGGTCTGAGCTGGGTTGGGGTCGTAGGTGCTGGCTGTGGCTCATGAGTCTGAGCTGGATCAGGGTCGTGGGTACTGGCTGGGGTTCCTGGGACTGAGCTGGGTCGGGGTCCAGGTCGAGGTCCCGGCCCCGGCTTGCAGGTCTGGGTCTGTGCCTGTGCCCAGGCCGCAGCCGCAGCCCCCGCCCGCCCGCGCGCCGCCCGCCACTCACACGCGCGGCAGCTGCAGCGGCGGCGCCCCGCGCCGCTGGAACACGCCGTCCACGAACACGCCGTTCTTCCCCAGGCAGCGCAGGTAGAAGTCGCCGCCCGCGTCGGGCCGGGGCTGCGCGGGCTCGGGGGCCGCCGCGCCATGGCCGCCGCCCGGGGGCGTGAAGATCTCCAGGTGGCGCCGCGAGATGAAGCTCGAGTGACCCATGCTCACGTCCACCGAGCCCTGCGATGAGTTGCGCCCGATGGTCACCGAGCGCTTCTTCATGAGGTACTCGAACTCCCGGCCCTCGAGTCGCGCCACGGCCCAGCCGCCCGGCGGGGACCCGCCGCCCCCGGCCCCGCCACCCGCGGGAGGGGCGCCCGCGCCCGAGAGCGCCGCCGCGGCCGCCATCGCCTGCGAGGCCCGCCCGATCCGCGCGGGCGCCCTGGCGGGGCCGAGGCCCGGGC